TTTCAAAAAGTCACAGGGATTTTTGCCTAATGAAAGATTAGAAAACCAGATCCAGCGTTATTACCTCCCACGTCATGACGAGATGACAGCTTGGTGGCCAGCTGCCAGTTATGTGTAACACAGTGTAAAGATTGTATTTCCTCTTGCTTCCTTTCAGGTAAGTACCAGAGCCCCAGGTGATGTGTACTTGTGCTACTCGTCTGATTGGAGGAGGTTCAGATTTGTACAGTAGCAGAAAAATCATTCTGGACTCAATACTTCTTGATACCTTAGGCCTACCGTGCTTAGACACGAGTAGTGGTTCAACGGTGGCTACCTCCAAAAAAATCCTCAGCAATCAAAAAGTCATTATTGAAAGTTTGGGCAGTATATGATTTGAAAATGTTATAAGCTAGGCAGTGGGGTGATCTCTCACCAAAAGAATGCTCACAACTCTTTTCCAGGTGCCTCACCCATTGTTTCCAAGCACCAATACCCCTTGAGTGCATTCAAAGTACACAAATGCTTTCCTTTCCCACTCATTGTAATTCATTATTTTTATAGACAAAGTACGGGAAGAGTTTACGGCTATTTTGGGGGGGGAGAGGCATAATTTTCACATCAACGAGAAAAGAAAACATTACAGCAGTCAGTTGCTTTTAAATTGTGCTCCAGAGTGGTCAGGAAATCATAGTCAGCTCCAGTATTTCAAAGGACGTTAGCCTGGGTACCTGAACATCCTTGACAGATTCCTCCAGATACTGATCTTAGCCAGCGGTGGGAAGGAACCATCAATATAACTCCAACCCAGCAAGTAAACAGCACAAAGGCAATGCTGACTCCATCTAATTTATGTTCTTGTGCTTTGGACCATGCAAGGCCAGAGCAGGTAAGGAGCAGGCAGATAACTTCGGATGAAACTGTATTAAATTGCTGTTGAAATAAGGATTCACTACGGGTGGGATTTTGAATATCTTGATGGCCTCTTCCAAGTGTCTTGGTGGTCTGAAGAGTCAAAGGTTGCGAGCAAAATAGCTCACAAAGATCTTCTAGGAAAAACTGGCTAGCATAATTCTCCAATAAACAAAATAGTTTCTGCCTTGTGCATCCCCAAGTAACATGTTTGTCCATCCTGTATTACATTTTGTTATCTATAATTTAGGAAAAAAAAATATAATCTTCAGATTTACCACCGTATTCCAGATAACTATGTACACGGTCTGTACGTACTATCAGGCTGTTCAATTAGACTTAATCTCTGTTAATTAAGCTTCCCATTTTCCAAGCTGTATTTTAATACTTTTGGATCATGAAAACAAAGTCTTTATCATCATTAAGCTGATTAACAAGATAAAAAATTAACAAAGGTGCATTTATCATCACTGTAGTATAAATCCTGCCCATCAAATGATGATATAAATTAACAGCAAATCTCTAATTGTTGCAAAATATCCATTTAGCATAACAAAACATCATATCTGAATTACTGACTTCAAGAAAAGTTTTATGCATCTTATTTTAATACTGTCAGTTTCAGAGTTCCATGCTATTAATGGACAATAAAATCCTGCTAAAACTTACTAGAGAAACGAAATATAAACCAAGCATTCTATACATACGTCATGCAAAACTGCCTTTTAAACTAGTTATGCTGTTACACTGGCATATGTAACTTAGAGTGTGTGTGTGTGCGTGTACGTATGTATGTATGTATGTGCACATACACACATACCTTTTTGTTGCTTGGAATAAAACCTATTTGTCATCTATTAAATCAGTGCACAACAAAGAAGGCATCTCCCATAAACCTATGAACTCTTCCACCAACAGCTGACACAGCTTCTGTTATTCAGGTGGTGTTGACCTTCTGCACGTTCTGAAGTTTCGAACTTTTAACTTTGCTACTTTTGGTATGCTGATAAATTAAAAAACATTATGTCCTTAACTACAGTATCTCCTGTTTTATGCATAAGGGAAGAGTTCTTGGCTTTTCCATAGTCAAAAACTATACTGGTTAGGTAATAAAATGTACCCTTATACTTGTTCCCATAGGTCTTAATCATGCTGAAACATAACCATGTTTCTTACTATTCTCTTTGCGTTGTCTATTTTCATAGATGCATGGAAGGCTGAAAAAAGCTTGACAAAAAAAATGGATGTCACCAGAACACAACCATGATAATTATGCAAAGCTTAGTAGGAGCAACAATTTAAAAAAGGCTTCCCCTGTGTCAAGGGCCTGGTCCCATTTCAGTTCGCGTGCAAAGCTAAAGACTGGAGTGACCTCAGCAGTTAGAGCAACATCAAAAAAATATCAAGCTGAAAGTTCTGCTATTGCATTGATCATAATGTAAGCAGGGTCCTCTTCAGTAGTGCCCCAAATCTTTGCTCTCTACTCCTCGTCAATGTTAAAAAGTATTTTCTCCACTGTCATCCACTTTATTAATTTCTGTCATCACAGACCTAAGGGTTTGAAAGCACTATCCTTATCAAGGTCCAAGTAGCAACTTAAGAAACTAGAGAAACAAACAGTGACTCTGTTTTAAGTGATGCACAATGAGTCCAGAAAAGAAGGTGTACTGGTTATGGCTGGAATAGAGTCAATTTTCTTCACAGTAGCTAGTACGGGGCTATGTTTTGGGTTTGTGCTGGAAACAGTGCTGATAACACAGGGATATTTTAGTTACTGCTGAGCAGTGCTTACACAGAGTCAAGGCCTTTTCCGCTTCTCACCCCACCCCACCAGCGAGCAGGCTGGGGGTGCACAAGGAGCTGGGAGGGGGCACAGCAGGGACAGCTGACCCCAACTGACCCAAGGGATAGCCCACACCATATGACGTCATGCTCAGCATATAAAGCTGGGGGAAGAAGAAGGAAGCAGAGGACATTCAGAGTGATGGTGTTTGTCTTCCCAAGTAACCGTTATGCATGATGGAGCCCTGCTTGCCTGGAGATGGCTGAACACCTGCCTGCCGGTGGGAAGCAGTGAACAAATTCCTTGTTTTGCTTTGCTTGTTCAATTATTAAACTGTTCTTATCTCAATCCACAAGTTTTCTCACTTTTACTCTTCTGATTCTCTCCCCCATCCCACCAGGGGGCAAGTGAGTGAGTGAGTGGCTGTGTGGTGCTCAGTTGCCAGCTGGGGTTAAACCACAACAGAAGGATAATTGCAGTAATCCATCTCACATTCAGAATGTACGAGCAGTCATTAGCAACACTGGACATGCCTGTTTCAACTCTTACATAGAGCTACACAGACTGAAACTACCTTGGTTACTACACAGAACTACAAAGGTTTAAGTGAAACTAGCACCCAGTCCTTCAACTATATATATTTTTAAACAGATGTCTATTAACTTGAAATACTAGAGATAACCTCAGTGCCAAGAGGAACATCAGCAGCGCATTTTGTTCAATCAAGATTACTCCTGCATAGCACCTCTCTCTACAAGCCTCTGTCTCTGCCCATCAAGATAGAGGACTTAAGTAGTTAAATTCAGAAGAGGCCATATCTAAAAATCCACATGCTTTGCATTGTATAATCATCATTGCCTGTCTGGTTTGACCTTGGGTTTTGCCGAGTGCATGCATGTGTCCCTACATGTGACAGTGTTCCTGTCAATGGCTCTTCTCAATGTCCTCTTTAACAAATTAAAAAAAAAAAAAATCCCTTAACATGGCAAACTGCTCCTATTAACCATGACTTCAGAGAGCTACAATGGCCTGGAAAAGCCTGGAGGATTTAAAAAGTAACGACAAAAGGAATGACAGAGTGAGAGAAGGAAAACAGGAAGAGTTGGAGGGAAGGATCCATGTGTAATGTAAAACAATATTCTTATATATTGAGACAATGGCCTGGAAAATGAAAGAAGGAATAAAGTAAAAGAAAGAGGCCAATAAGAAAGTAGAGGTGGCCGAAAAGTATGAGGATAGAACAAGGAAGCAGCAGAGTCCTCCCCTTAGCTATTCTTGTCCGGACATCTCTGCTGTTGCACTGGCAAAAGCCATCATTGACAATTTGGTCATAATAAAGCCACTGCCTTCTCCTCCATACATTTTCTCAACAGAAGGCGAGAAATTGGGCTAACAGTTGTGTATCATGTACACGATTAACAAAATTAAATACCAATAGGATTTTTTTTTTCCTAAAAGAAATGCTGCAGAATGAGTGGTATTAGATTTGAAATGTGAGCAACTAAAGAAAGTCCTATTACTTGTATTAAAACAGAAAGTCAGACTAGATACACAGGCCCTTCAAAGCCCTAAGAAATGATGAAAAAAAAAAGCATTCACAAAGTTACAAGTAGGAGACTATTTGATGCAACGCACATTTTGAAACATCAAAACATCACTGGAATTGTATTATGGGCCATAATACAAGGTACACTTTTTTTTTTTTAATAAAACGATGTCTGCCACTATAATAGCTGATGAAAAAGACCTCTTTTTTCCCTCCTACAATGACAGTAAAAATAGAAAAAAAAAAGGAAAAAAAAAAAAGACACACACACGAAATAACAATATACTGTATTTGTGCCAGGAAGAAAACATACACATCACCATACGGAAGCACAAGTAGCTTAATTGCTTAATAGCTTAATTGCTGAACCTCAAAAAAAGGAAACGTATTATTTTAGAATGTTATAAAACATAGTGAAGCAGGAAACATGTAAGTTGAACTTTCATGGAAAAGCAAACTCCGAAGCGCATGTGATAAACTAGTAAGGGAAACTGCATTACAAGGTTTGTAACTTCCAAGTGCGTTGTGTCAAAACTACATTTGTTTTGATCTTTCTGTTTAAGTTAAGTATTTTACAGACCAGGATACATAAATAATGCATTCCTCCTGTAACAAAAAACAATTAGCAAAAAGTAGCAAATTGCAAACTATGAAGAAAGGCTTTAACTTACATGTCAGATTGTACATCTACCATTTCAACACACTGTCAAAATGGACCACTCAGCGCTCAGTTATCTTTTATGTCATTACTGCTACAAGAGAGAAACAATTTCCTCTTACCTGTGCTCTAACTCTCGGATGGACAGTATAACTCCAGAAGTCAATGCCTTCTGTTGCACGGTGGCCAGAAACGTAAACTCACTTTTATTCCGGAAGAGCTGAATTAACTTCTCGCTCACATGGGGCGCTGCATGGATTTCTCTTTCTACATCTAAGAATTTTATTTAAAAAAAAAAAAAAAAGGAAACAACAGTCCAGTAAAAATGCTACGTCAGAAAGATTCAGATTACATTTTTCATTTTCCCATCAACATTTTTCATTTTTGAGTCATGTACCGTGCTCCACCACTGCATTTGTTCCATGAAAAAACCCAAATGCCATCTCTGTCAGCGTGCCCACTTGTCACTTTGACAAGTTCACAACTGGTCAGCTACTGATTTTCTGACAGAATTTTTAACAGGATGCTGAGCCATTTGTGTCTGCTGTGAGCAGATTAAGTTGCTGTAAATAAGGTGTACTGCAGTCAGATAAATAGGCTCCTAAATTCCGAGAAATCTCAGGCACTGCCTCTCCCAACACAATTCACCAAGCTCCAATTTCAGTTTTTACCACCAACTCCGTTACCACCTCTCCATCGTACATCAGAGGAAACCTCTCCTTGCACTGTGTAAGGCAGAGATGTATTATTGCTAATAATGCTATACGGCTGTGCTTCTGCCCGAGAAATAAATACAAGACACGCTTGCAATCCACTATCGTTTCAGGGATTTCTCAGTTTACACAAGCAAAGCGTGACAGCTCATACAATATTTATTAAACTACAGTCTGACCAGGCACATCCAGAAATATTTCAGTCTCACTAATCCTGCTGATGTCCAAGCAGCAGCATGCCTTCTTACATTAGATCTTCTAAAATTCTAATGGGCTGCCTCTCACCACATTCATTTTTATCTCATCCTTTTATTCGCAATATATCATCGCTATGAAAGATGATTAGCGACAAAAGGGAGAAATCACGGCATTTCACCTTCCCACCCCTTGCCACGTCGCTCATGCTGGGCCTTTGTCACACATTTGCAAGACCTGTGCCACTTGCGGTTCCTGGATGTCACAACCAATTAGAATCCCAGCGCGCTTCCTTTCGAAAGGTTTACTTTGAAGCCAGAAATGATGGCACAAATTCTCAGCTGGTAGAAAACCATATACCTCTACTGAATCCTGAGAATCTGGCCCAGCATGAATGCTGTAACACACAAAGGAGTGATGAGATTTACAATTCAGAATTTCACTGCAGGAAAAAAAACCCAACATTGTGTCATTAAATGAGGCTTTGCAGACAGAAAGAGGAGAGACTTGCTTGAAAAACAACCCGAAACTCAGAAACACAGCTACTGAGGGAACGCCATGGACTGAAACCAAACTCCAAGGAAAAAGTATTCAAGCATGTTTTGTAATTGGGTGTCTCAATTTTTCCTGTGCAGCTTAAAGCCCTTCAAATGAGCCTACACACTCAGAATCCATAACACACTTGCACTCTGAAAAGCTCACCTCTGAAAAGTACTGCAAATTAGACATCCAAAAAATCACTAGTCATCAATTAAAAGTCTTTGCCAGTGGCTCAAATTCACCTGATAAATAAATATAATGCCCACTTTACAGCAACAAACTATCCGCCTGTCCAACGCCACTTTTATCAAAGCAGAAGATAAAGCTTCAAAGAACACAAATCATTTCCACTGCCATCAGAAAGGGGAATGGAGGAAGAAACAATCTAGCACAGAAGACCTGATTTTGTCTTTATCTACAAGATTTCATTATCTGTATCATTACCTTCACCTACCAGGTGTTATTACTGGTCGTAAGTACTATCTAGTTTCTTTTAAAAAAGCTGATGCAGGAGACACAAAACTATGTGTCCCATACACCAGTAAGTACTCCGATATCCAGTTTGCTATCTACACAGACAATCCACTGGTACTAAGTTCCAAGGCACAAGTAAGATTCAGAGATACAATGTCCAAGAGCTGACAGTTGAAGATAATTACCCTTGTTTTGAGGGTTAAGAACCTTAGTATCTTACGAAATTTTATCTTTTGTCTTCTTAGGGGTGCCACAATCACCAGAAATAAAATATGACTTCCCAAAGCTTTCAAAAATTCTTTCACATGAAAGCATAGGCAGCGCTGTCAGTGGAACACGTATGGTAAAATTTCAGTCAAGCCCTGCAAAGTCCAACGTTTTCTCATTATAGGGGGACCCAGATATAAAGCCACATCCTGCCATCTATCCACCAAATTTTATACAAAAATATAGGACTCCTCCGTCAGAATCATGAATGAATAACCAATGTACTGTCTACTTCAGTTAGAAACGCACTTTGAAATACCATGCTATACTCCACCACCTCTTCATAGTCATGAACACACCAAAACCACATGCAACACCTTACATTCATTCTTTGTCGATTAAAATCAGTAAGATCCAAAGTCCTGAAATTCCAGAATCTTGGGTTCAAACTACTAGATAACAAACTGTATTTACGTACTGCTTTGCAACACTATTCTAGTCTGATTTGTGCAAAGGTTATATAACTAGGCTTTTAAAAATGAACACACTTCTAAGTATAGTGCTATTTATTTGGAGTAGGTCTACTCATTACCAGTGCCTAGGAACGTCTTCTACCACTAGAAAATTGAAAAACATACTTGCAGATGCAGAAATGTCTACAGAAATGCTGCTCTTCGTAACTCAACCTCAGGAACTATAACAAGAGGAGTTTCCCAGCAATCCCATGGCGAGATAGCAAACGCGACCTGATAGCCTACAACTGGACTCGCGAGCTGAGGAGCCCACCAAGGCTCACGAGGATTCAGGGGGCACGCGACCTGGCATTACAGAGATGATAAACCTGTCAGGGTGCTGAGCGCAGCCCTGGGCTCGCAACCTGCGGCCTGAATGCTGGGAAGGAGCCGCATGAAGCCTCGCTGAGAGCATGGCCCAGCCGGCACTGCCTCACCCCCGTTCCCGGGCCCTGTGGGACACCCCCCCTGCACCTCTACAGCAGTGCCCCCCCTCGCGCCGCACGATCGCTGGCTATGTCATCTGTTTGTGTTTTGCTCGATTTCTGCAGGAAGTACCACACAAATGAGCTGGGAGTACGATCCATTTAGAATAAGAGCTTTCTATTTTCAGGTTGATTTGCACACTTCAAAAAAAGAGAAATTGAGAATGCATACACCCCCTTACCACAGGTACCTGAAAGGGAAAATATTTTTTATGCTCTCTATAAAAATAACTGTCTGCTCATAATGAAATGTCGTATTGCCCACATAATATAGAACAATATAGGTTTATACAGTAATCTTCAGTGAAACATCGCTTCATGCTTGAATGATAACGCAATCTCAGCAAAATAAATAAATAAATAAACATAGATACAACTTTCATATGCCCTTCTATGTGATTATATTTTCTTAATTTGAAATACTGACTGTCTGGAGGGTTTTTTTAAACAGACCAGAGTGTTTCTAAAATAAAAGAAGTAAAAAAAGCAAGCATACACAGTTATTTGAAAGTACAACAGATACAAATCATCTCAGAACATCAAGTAAAGGCAACTTTCTACTTTCAGCAAAACAGAGAAGCAAGAGACACATCTATGTCAGAGAGAGCGCATGTTTGTTGCTCGACTTTAAGTCCTTTTTTTCCCCTGGTCCAAGGAAGAAGTGCCAAACACAACACAATGATGCAGTTTGCCAGGACAGCCAAACCCCTTTAGCCCCTGCCATCCCACATTTCCCGACCCGGCACCATCTCCCCCATTCCCAGGGACACGACCTCGCCTTCTCCTGGCTGCTTTGTCCTGCACGAGCCTGTTCAGCACCCAACCAGCGCAGCCCTACCAAGCCAAAAGGAGCTACGAGAGGAACCGGCACCCAAGGCTACACTTATGCAGGGGCTCAGCAGCTGCGGCACGACTCCGGCCGGGCTCTACAGAGGAAGACCACAGCACCCTGCTCAGCTGCAGCAAGCTCTTACACGCTCAGCTGCCTTGATGAATCCTACCTCCAGCTGCAATTACTCATGATACTCATTTCCAGCACCTTCAAAATAAGTTTCAAATTTTTATTTTAGCATGGGTTTGGTTTCATTCCAGAAGACTGGTCCAGATGAAAGGTACTGCTGCACTGGGGCCAATGGTGTCAGGGCAAGCTTTACCTTGTACGTATGAAATGTACAGGTATTTCGGTACACACTAACCCTACATGACAAATGGAATTAAGAAGGTACAATAACTCAGGATTAGGGTCAGTCCTTACAAACCTGATTTAGGCCCTCAGGCCTGAAATTAAAAATTAAAAATTTTAAATTTACATTTTAATTAATTAATTAAAATTTAATTTAATTTTAAATTTAATTAAAATTAAAACCTCAGGCTTTTGCAACTTGTAGCCCAGAAGATATGAGAGGCCTCAAATATGAGAAAGGGAGAAGTTGGCTTCAGCTCCATTAGAAACAGTGTAAGAAAATTATCACCCCCAGAAGAAGACAAAATGAGTTAGAGAAACAAAAGAACAGTGCTAGGAAAGCAGGTAAAGTTCTTGCCAAACTTACTTTGATGACAGTGTCAACAATCCACAGTACAAAGGGAAGTACATGACCATTCGGGCTGCAATTTTAAGCAACGAAAAACGTGTACCAGTTCTTACAAGCTCAATCCCAATCCATCTGGGAAATCATTTTTCTTTAATAGATGCTTCCATTAGAGAAGAATAATAAAATTCCATTCTAAATCAACTCATGTTTTCTGAAGCAGCAGATATGTTTCATCATTCAAGAGCCTGCTTGAATACCTTTTCCTTTCACTTCCTTACTTTGGTAGGGAACACGCTGCAGAGCACATTGCTTTATTGGTACCTTCAATCATTTTAAAGCTGTTTGTTTCAGCGTGCTTTCAGGAGAACCTCTGCACAGTCACTCTGGACAAGCAAGTAGAAATTAACCCTGCAACAACAGAGAATCTGGATTTCAGCTACAGCAATTAAAGAATCGAATATTGCAGCATATTGCCTTTTACCTTGCTACGGGCAAAATCCAATAAAACAGAAATCTCTATTTCTATAAAATTTCTATAAAAAAAACCAAACACAGTGCCCCATTTTTTTAAGTCATCAGCTTTCCAAAAATGGAACCAAGAGTAGAAGGAGGATC